CTGAAACGGCCCGCTTGCCAAATGACCCATGGCACAGGGTAGTTGTCCCTAAACTATGTTGCAAATTGGAATCACTAGAGATCTTTTAAAAATACTGATGTCTAGCTCCCATTCCCAGACATTGGGTTCAACAGAAATTGGGTACATCAGCAGTTTTTAAAGCTCCCCAAACCATTCTAATATGCAGCAAAATTAAGGAACTGCTACTGTAGGGTGTACCTGTTAAATCCTCAACTTCATCTGCAAATCTCTTCAGATCTGTTTACTGAGAGCAAATGAAATTCTCAACCACCTGGGCAGGTGTGTGATATTTCCTGTGTGTCATGTGTATAAGGCAGTGAATTACCAAACAGGATGCTAATTGAGGGATGGAGTATGGATGACTAGAGATGTTTGCTCATATGAGGAAAACAGAGGAGTTTCTCTGTCTTTGCTCAGCATTGCTACTCCAGAAACTGATTTCACTCAACCATATCCTATTTTGAGCTTTTCAGACTGTGAGTTCTAATTTATTATTGGGTTCTTAAATCATGTTAATGGCTTACGACCAGCATTGTTAGAGGAATGGAATGGAATGGAATGGAATGGAATGGAATGGAATGGAATGGAATGGAAAACATCAGAGAGAACACCGTGAAGAAAAGCCAATCACTGTTTTGTGAGCCACACATATCTCACTGTGGTTCACAGTAAAAAATGCCTGACACGATGCCTTTACCACGTGATTCCATCTCTCTCAATCTCATTTTGCTTCCTCTTGATTTTCCCACTTGTCAGGGGTTTCTAAACCTCTACCACTGAATTTAAAGGACAGCTATAGTTCAATCTTCATTCCATTCATTTGGAAAATACAAAGTTGAAAATGAGCCAGGCACCTTGCAATGTTCCTGAAAAAGTCATCTTTCTGGGAAGGGCTCTGTTGCTGAATGCACAACTCTCTCTTTCAGAAAGAACTGGCAACAAACCCAATTTGCCTTCAAGTTTTGAGATACAGAGCTTTTAGCTCTTCTGGTAATAAAGGCTCATTTGCACACTCTGCTTTAAAGGCAAAAACATCTGCTTCGGCTACAACCAAAGGAAAAGTAAATCAACTGTACAGACACAATCTATGATAACTGGAATATTGTTTATTAATGGCTTTAATTGGTCCTTTGGCTTGAGGACAGTAACATTTTGCCTTGAAGTGGCAGAGACTACTCCATCAAACCACAATTCAAGTTGCAAGTAAATACAAACATATATATATGTATGTGTATGCAGATACTTTTACTATTCTGATTTGAAATATTAAAAAAAATTATTTGGCATAAGCAGTAGGAAAACTGCTGAGCAGAGCTGAACCAGCCAGAAAGCTGGAAGGAAAGATTAACACGAGAAACTCTAGGCAGGTGCAATGGCAAGATAAAACAGCAACGTCAGGGATACGGGCGTGGCCTGAGGGAGCGTGGGTGAAGACAGACTGTGAAGGAGACAGGGCAATGTGAGGCCCAGCCAACTGACAGTGCTGCCGAATCGTAGCAAGTCAATACCTATGGTTCACACAGCCTTAGAGATGAGGATAATGACCACATTCTGAAAAAGATAATCGGTCTCTGGTTAAAATGGCCTGAAGTGCTGATGTGGATAACATTTCATTTGATAGCAAATGCACTTTGAATTGATTTGAGCAACAATCTAAAGATTTTCTTTCACTGGACCTAAAACTTGATTTCCAAAGATGGGGTTACTTTGGATAAGATGTGTGACCCTGCAGGGGATGATAAAAATTACTCTGACTGTACACTCTCAGAAGACGTATTAATGTCTGGTTAATCACTCATCTTTCACAGCAAAGTACTCGGTAAACTTGGGCTAAAATTAACAACCACCAGCTTTCCTTGCCCTGCATGTCCCCTTCCAGCGGGCAGTGAGTGTGCTATTTGGTGGGGAGGGTGACACCAGCTTTGGCATTTGCACTAAAAACCTTTGCTCTTCATATTTGCTCTTGGCTAAGAAACCAAGAGAGAATTTGCCAGCACAATTTGATCCATACTCCTGAATAAAAAATAACCAGAGGTAACGCTATTCTTTGGTTAAATGACAAAGATTGCAGCCAGTATATAAATGGGGTTATTTTTCTAAAATTACACTATAACCCCAAGAATATAACTGTTAGATAATTGATATGAAATGTCTGAAGATAGTTTCCAGGTAAAGGATGATGTGCTGCAACAAGTCTTCAAGCAGAGAGCCAAGACAGGCCAAGTTTATCTATTAACTTCTTATAGTAAGAATTAATCATGCTCTGCAAGTTTTAAAAAAACAATCATCTGACTCATGCAACAACTTTGAAACTAAGCTGCACTAAGAAACAAGAAGAGGATTATCAGGCTTATTTCTATTTCTGACCTCAGAAGGGAATCTAATGCCCCAGGCAAGGGCAGAACCCTTCTAAACTAACATAAATAACCTATCATCTAAAACTAGTCTCCTGTTGGTAGATATTGGCTTTGTAGTTGTTACTGTTCATTTGAAGTATGAATAAACAGAATCTTCAGTCAGTGAGGCAGGGGTTTTTGAACACCTCTGTAAATCAGAATTTCTTGCCAAGCTTGGTAAACATGCAGCTTCCTGAACCCAGTTCCATTCAGTCACCAAAGACTGAAAGGCTGATGCCTGGATCTCACTCTACATCAGTTGAATCCGTCCCTAGGGATAAGGCCAATGCCTTGGTATTTCCTAAAAGTATCTGCATGAGACTCTGAGGTGCAGGCCTAAGTCCAGAAGTCCTGCCCTGATTAGTGACTTAGTAGGTGAGGGTAGGGCCCAGCCCCTCCATGTCTAGGTGTCACACATGAGTCCCATGCCCAAGATCCATGGACCTTATTCTCAAACACACTGGCCTAGGTCATATCAAAAATCTGGGTAACTCCAAAGCTCTATGAATTGGTGCCTTTCAAAATGAGAGTCGCTTCTTCTTTGACTTCTTTGTGCCATAGTAACATCTCTGAAGTAAAAAGCAGTCTTTAAACAGGATGGCCAGATTCATAAGCTGATTAAGATGTTTAAGGACAAAAAAATGTGTTACATTAGGGCAAAAAATGTGTTACATTAGGGCAAAAAACGTGTCTACAAAAGTAGATTTTTATCTAAATGTGTTATCAGAATTTCATAAATAAATAATTGCCTTGCTGAGAGGAAAGTAACTCAAAATTATTATCTTACAAGATATTGATTTAAGAAATAAACTTTAATTCAGAAAATATTATATATATTAAATCATAATTAATATTTAAAATCCCACTTAAAAAGTCAAAGGGATAAACTTCCAGCCAAGATGGAGGCATAGGTAGATACACTTTGCTTCCTCACACAACCAAAAGAAGGACAACAACAAATCTGAAAACAAAAAAATAACCAGAACTGCCAGAAAATTAAAATTGTATGAAAGTCTGACAACCAAGTGAAATAAAGAAAAATATACAGGGAATCAACAGTGAAGGGAAGAAAACCAGGATTCAAATCAACAATTTGGAGTAGAAGGAAGAAATAAACTAGAACAGAATAAAGTTGAATAAACTAGAATAAAGTTGAACATTCTATTCAACTAGAACAGAATGAAGAAACAAAAATTCAAAAAAATGAGGAAAGGCTTAGGAACCTCTGGGACAACTTTAAAGGTTCAACATCCAAATCATAGGGGTGCCAGAAGAAGAAGAGGATGAGCAGGAAATTGAAAACTTATTTGAAAACATAATGAAGGAGAACTTCCCTAATCTGGCAAAGGAAATAGACTTCTAGGAAGTCCAGGAAGCTCAGAGTGTCCCAAAGAAGTTGGATCCAAGGAAGCACACACCAAGGCACATCATAATTACATTAGCCAAGATTAAAGATAAGGAGAGAATCTTAAAAACAGCAAGAGAAAAGGAGACAGTTACCTACAAAGGAGTTCCCATCAGACTGTCAGCTGATTTCTCAAAAGAAACATTACAGGCAAGGTGGGGCTGGAAAGAAGTATTCAAAGTCATGAAAGGCAAGGACCTACATCCAAGATTACTCTATCCAGCAAAGCTATCATTTAGAATGGAAGGGAAGATAAAAAGCTTCCCAGACAAGAAATAACTAAAGGAGTTCATCATCACCAAGCCCTTATTGTATGAAATGTTAAAGGGACTATGAACAGTAAAATGACAACAAGCTCACAACTATCAACAGCTGAACCTAAATAAAGCAAAAACAAAAACGAACTAAGGAAACAACTAGAACAGGAACAGAATCAGAGAAACAGAGATCACGTGGAGGGTTATCAGCGGGGGAGTGGGAGTAGGGAGAATAGGGGAAAAGGTACAGGGAATAAGAAGCATACATGGTCAGTACAAAATAGACAGGGGGAGATTAAGAATAGTATAGGAGATGTAGAAGCCAAAGAAATTATATGTATGACTCATGGACATGAACTAAGGGGAGGGGATGCTGGTGCAAGGAGTGGTGCAGGGCGGAGGGGAATAAAGGGAAGAAAAAAAATGGCACAACTGTGATAGCATGATCAATAAAATATATATTTTTAAAAAGTCAAAGGGATAAGTACAAGGATAGTCATGTTATCCTTGCATTCTTTCTAATAACAAAAAATTTAAACTACCTAAATATCTATTCAAAAGGGGACTAGTTAAATAAATATTGTACACAATTAAGTAGGATGCAGCCATTAAAGAGAATGATAGTGCTTTCCATATAGTAACAAATAATATCTCCAAGATATAACTGATAATAGAAGCAAATGGTAGATATGTATATAGTATAAAGTCATTTGTGTTTTTAAAACTTAGGCCTGTATGAAATATGTAATATTTCTCTGGAAAGATACACAACAAAGTGGTCATAGTGATTTCCTTCAGAGAGGGAAACTCCGTGGCTTAGAAAATGAGACTCCCTGTCCCCATTGATATTCCTTTGGGCCTTTTGGATTCTTGTGCTGTAACTAAGTCTGTATAATCCAGCTATTTTTATTTTGTGTAAAGGTTTTATGACAGCAGATGAAAGAAAATTATTTGACCACCTCAAATCTCCTCACCTGAAATACTGGGTTCCATTCATCTGGTTCGGAAATCTGGCCGCTAAAGCCCGGAAGGAAGGTAGAATCAGAGACAGTGTCGATCTGCAATCATTGATGACTGTAAGTACATCGTAAATTGCCAAAAGAAAAAATGCTAATCAGAGACCAACAGGGACCTGGATGCAACCGTTGGACCAGGATGAATCCGTTTTGTTTTATTAAGAGCCCTCAACATGCAGGACCAGCACAGCACACAGGTTCTGATTCAGACTCATTGGCAGTAGTTGCTTGGAAGCTCTGTATGAAACAGAAGTAGGCTTGCAATATGCCCTGTAAGAAAGTGTCCCTTCACTGACTCACCATGCCTGCCAGGGACTCTGCAGGACCTGGTGCATCCCTGGCTCCAGGGCCTCCCCAGTCTCTTCCCCCAGTTGGAATATTTCAAGGTTAGGCAGCTTTTCAGATGCTCTATGAAATAAAATTGTGTTTTTATTCAATGAAATAGTACTAAATTCACCTGAGAAACAAAGTAATGTGAGGGCTAGAGGGATTTGTGCCATGGTGGTAGTCTCTGGCCTGGACCAGCCTAAGAGAAGTGAAGGATTTTAAAATAGCTCCCAAATGAGTGTGAACTCTTCTTCCCAGTATCAGATAATAATTTATGTGCTGTAGTGGGGAAAAAAATCAATGGGTACCAGTCCTTCCTGCTCTGAAGAAAGATAGATTTTCTGTCAATTATAAGCATCTCATTTGTGGGGGGGTGAGGGTTAGGATGGATTTCTTTTTTCTAAGATCTATAGTAAGCATGTTTTCAAAAGGGAGAAACAACAAAAATATCTGATCTCCACATAATTTACCAAAATGGCTAGAAATGACTTGTTTAAAACATTAACCACTGCCTTCCCATCACCTCTTCAGACCAATGTCATGTTGGAAATTATGGGTTTGGTAGGAGATACTTCTATGAAGTCTTGACTTATCGTAGTATTGAAACATATATATTCAAATGTACTTTTTTGTACATTTTTTAATGACATTCATTGCTTGTTATTTTCAGAATTTTCCTTTGCAGTGGCCTTCAGAACCAATGTCTGAGCCATACAAAGGCAGTCCCATCATTTCACAGACATAGTCATAAAAGCCATGGCCACATTCCTAGTCCCACTATACCCATCACTTCAGTAAATCATGTTTTATCTGTTTCTGGCTTAGGAAATGAACCGGTACCGCTCTTGGTGCAGCCTCTTGTTTGGTTACGACTGGGTTGGGATCCCGCTGGTTTACACCCAGGTATCGAACACCACGCACGTGACTTTTTGTTTCTGTGCGCCCACTGCGGCACCTGCTGGGGCGGCCAGTGCCACACTCTCACTGGGTTTTTCTCTGTTCCAGGTTGTCACTCTGGCCGTCTACACCTTCTTCTTTGCATGCCTGATTGGACGGCAGTTTTTGGATCCCACTGTAGGCTACGCGGGGCATGACTTAGATCTTTACATTCCAATCTTTACTCTTCTACAATTCTTCTTCTATGCAGGATGGCTCAAGGTAACCACCAGTCCCAGTGCCATGAGACCCTCTCTGTAATCTCTGTCATGTTCAGACTCTGCATGTGGGTGCTCCACTGAGTCTTGCAAATCATTTCTGAGTGAGTCACAGGGATATTTAATATTTAATAGCTCAGAGATATTATTACTTTTCAACCAGGGATTAAAGTGACAGGGATGTGGGTGAACCCCATATTGCAGCAACAGAAGCAGCTCATTTTTGCAAAGAGATAAGAAGACTCTTTTACGGCTATTGATTTTTTGAAGTCTTTGTGTGCTCCCGTTAGGATTACAATAATGTAAGTAAAGTAATAACTGTACCTGCACTGATATTTTATACCACAATAAACACCTAGGCAGTAAAAGAGAGTAAATAAGTCTTGTATATTAGACTTAAGCATTAATATTGTATTATTATCTTGGTTCTTCTCAACTCTGTACATAGTTAGCTGCAGTTCCCTGAAATCCCACTAGTTGTTCCACAACAGTAAATGCATCCTGTTTGCAAAACCAGAACTGAGACTCAGAAAAGAATCCATCGAGCCCTGGCCGGTGTGGCTCAGTGGGTTGGGTGTCATCTCCAAGGCAAGGGATCACTGGTTCGGTTCCTGGTCTGGGCACATGCCTGGGTTGTAGGTTCAGTCCCCGATATTTCTCTCCCTCTCTTTCTCTCTCTGTTCCCCTCTCTCAAAAAATAAACAAAAAGAAAATAGCCCTGGCTGCTGTGGCTCAGTGGATTGAGTGCCGGCCTGTGAACCAATGGGCCCCAGATTTGATTCCTATTCAGGGTGCATGCCTGGGTTTCAGGCCAGGTTCCCAGTAAGGGGTGCACGGGAAGCAACATACATTGATGTTTCTCTCTCTCTCTCTCTCTCTCTCTCTCTCTCTCTCTCTCTCTCCCTTCCCTTCTCCTCTCTCTGAAAAAATAAATATTAAAAAAAAGAAAATAAAGAAGGAAGGAAGGAAAGGAAGAAAAGAGTTCATTGAAATCAAAACCAAAAACACCAGAACTAATGACACCATCTGGTTTGCCAATAAATTAAAACCAGGTTAGAACAGTGAGGATGGCTTGTCCAGTTGTTGGTGTGAAACTTTATTTATTCCCACCACCACCTCCTCTCACCTCTTCCTTAGGTGTATGTATAAATATCAGAGGTCTGATTCTTCTATCGCTTTGGGGAACTTCTCAAAGAGAAGTACAGTATGTGGTGAAAAGATATTGGAGACTTGGGCTGTGTTCGGCTAATTGAAATCTAATGACAGTGTCAATTTCCTGGTGTCACTACTCAAAAAGAACTGGCAGAACATCCGGGCTTTGTACATCAAGAGCACCATGGGCAAGCCCCAGCGCCTGTACTAAGGCACAGCTTAATAAACAGTACTGCTACCAAAAAAAAAAAAAAAGAAATCTAATGACAGTGTGAAGAGGACATTAATAACACGGAATCTCCCAGTGGCTGAGCTCCCAGCAGCCGTGTCGTGCTGGAGGGCGCCAGTGGGGCTTCCGGTGCAGCAGCATCTCCCTGCAGATCCTTTCCTTTCATTTCCGTTTGAATCTCAACCAGAAAAAATAAGTTACGTTGGCATTTCAAATTATACCTCAAAGAACAAAGGCATATCCCTTACAAATGGCAAAAACATTTTTAACCAGATGACAATAATTCTTAATTCTTTTTTACTCCATTAGGACAAAGAAAGAGCAAAAGAGACTAATGCTCTCATTTCCCGTTAGAGCAGAGAGTAGATTCTATTTTTGTAAACAGAAAAATCACCAAAATTGGCCCAAATGCTTAATCATTCTGGTGTTTTGTTGTTTTTCCCCCTGAGTTGTGCTGAGCTTTTCAGTCTTTGCTTTGTGTCCATGTGAGGTGTTCGGGCCTTATAGGGAACAGTTAGTTCCTGCCTTCTGACATGCCCTCTAAAATAATGTTCTTTCCTTTTATAAAATACTTTTAAAGAAAAAATATGGGAAGACAACCTTAGCTCCATTAAGACATAGGCAACTATAGGCAACTAAGTTTTTCCACCATAGATCGCATCTCAATTTTGAACAGCTGTTTTATCTTGACCATGCTAATATTTTTAAGTCTTTTCAAAGTGTAGAAAATCCATCTAACCTTGTGAAGAGTATATAATTCAGTTATTTCCTAGAAATGGAGCCTCCAATTTTTATTAAGAAAGTAAATATGTCTTTGTGAGATAGTTTATTCAGAGACATAGATACCATTTTGGTCATTAATTGTAGGCTCTACTTCTATATGCAGGACTGATCCCATAAAAATGAAATTCTGGATATAATAAAAATATTTTTAAGACCTACCCAGTGTCCTATGTAATTTAAGGAAAACCCCAGGCAGGAAAGGGTAGGCAGCCCCTTGGAACTTTCAATAAGGGACTTGGATGTGGATACTGCCTGAGGCTGACTGGTTCAGACCCTGCCTAGGGCTGTCCCTCAGGATGAGGGAGATAGGGGTTCCGAACCCTGGCCTCAGGTAAAATCTCCCAGGGCCTTTACCCAACACTGCCACCTGGGTTCAGCCTCACACCCATGAAATCGAAATTTCTGGGGGAGGGACCCAGGCATCACTTATTTTAAAAGCTTCACAAGAGAGTTTGATGTTCAGCCCAGGTTGAGAACAGCTAGCTGCTCTAAGTGGTTCGACTTAAATCCTAAAAAACAAGTAGGTAGCTTTTCTAGAAACTACTCATCAATGGTCCCTTTATTTTATCCACTGGTGAGTTTTTCCCATTTAGGCCCAGTGAAAAATGACACATGCACACACCCAGATAGTAAAAACAAAAGAGAATTACTCAAAACTGAGAATAACAAGTTGAGTCATATTGGCATTAAATCTCTCATCAAGAAGTCTATTCCATCAGGAGCACGGTGAGCACATGTACCATTGACCAACTATTAGAAGGAAAATGATAAGAAGCCACCTAAGCTTTTCCCAGTGGGAAAACTTACTACTAGATAACGGTAAATCCCTTAGGGTAAAACTAAGATAGACAGATGCCAGCTGTATGGCTTACTAGCTCTTTGACTCATTCATTTAACAGTTATGTCCAATAATTATTAAGGCTCCTTGTATTATTTTCTTTAATTGTGGTTTAAATCTTTCTTTGCTGTTTCAACCATTCCCAGGTGTACATTTTGTCTTGTCACCTGGGCCTTTGTAAATTCCTTCAGAGCACAGACCGAGTGTGCCCCTCAACACGCCTAGTGCCTGCCTTGCTCATTGTCAGCGCTCCTTCAGTAGTCACCGGTTTGATCTGTGCTTGCAGATCAGTTATCTGACCCCTAAACAGGCTTTTGCAAAGGGCCTGCATTGTCACCAGCTCAATAGACAGATCTCTTGGAGAGCCTGCCTATGCAGGTGCATCACTCCTGGTCTGAGAGCCAAGTCTCATTTGCTGATAAATACGTGTATCTGTGTATACAGAACAACCCACTCCTCCCTAGGCTTCATATTATAAAAGTGACAAAAGAAAGCAGAGAGTGAAACAGGAATCATCTTCAACCTTCATTCTTAGTCTTCTCAAGCATCATGACTGACTTATTCTGTGTTCTCCACTGCAGGTAGCTGAGCAGCTTATCAACCCTTTTGGAGAAGATGATGATGATTTTGAAACTAACTGGTGCATTGACAGGAATTTGCAGGTGAGATGAGCATTTTTCCCCTTTACAAACGTTAGCAATATGTTACTTGTGATGTTTCAATTCTAAACAGACTGTCAACACAGGGCCCAGAACTTCAGGGCTTTAACCACCAGTGAAGGAGGTTTGGCCCTTCAGTGTGTTGTCTAAGGGCCTCTCAGAGCCTTGCAGGTCCCAGATCTCAGTCCCAGTGAAATTTATCCTCTTTTAAGTAGAATTTCAAGCCAGTTTCCTTTGTAGGTTTTATTACTAGTGTTACACAGAACAAAATTTTAATTCATTCTTTAATCTGTTTCCTATTGCCACCCAGAGAGGGTGCCACCCAGCGACATAGAGTGGCAGCCAGACACAATCCGATGTGAGTTCCCAAACACCTACCGTGTAGGTGCCGGCAGTCAGATGCCCGTCAGCTGGACCCTGGGAGCACGGGCCACGTTGGCCTGTATCTCAAATCAGCCTGAATCGCACCAAAAGGACCTCAGGGCCCTTACCCTGAGGCATTATTCCAGATGAACTGGCATGAGATAATTTTCCTTTTAGGCAAAACTCCCCTCAGACCATTCTCTACCCTAAGAACTATGAAAAAACCTTCCACTTGTCTATTCATTTCAAGCCCTCACTCAGCCTTTGAAAAGGTTCAAACATTTCACCATCAGTCACTGTTGGTTCGCAAACTGGTCCCTGTACATGTCATGGGGCAGGGGGCTGGGGGAGGACAAGGAGAGACTGAAAAAAAAGGCAAGCCACTCCAGCTTGGTAGGTGGCAGTTTTAACAAGCAAGAGAGAACACTTACATGCAAGGCTTGTCTTAGGCGACCACAAGATGGAGTAGATCTGCGAAGCCACTCAGAAGTTTATACAGAGGCCTTGACTGTCTGGGTTCAGTCATGTACATCATCCTGATGGTCTCAAGAACCCATTGCTCTCTCAAGCCTGTGTCCTTGAAAATGGCTCCCCCTGTGACCAGAACACACATTTCAAGGATGGGGAGCAGGGTGACCCGGGTCCAGCTCCTGGGTCATCTGGTGGTCACATCCTCTCCTTCACCTCCTTCAATAATCACACTGTCTGCTAGGGAGAAAGCATAATGCTTAAGCCACTCACTCTGTAAAGATCAGATTCCCAGAGAATTCATCATGCATCAGTTGGTCAAAGTCAAGAGGAGAGCCCATGATAGCCCCAAGCAGTAGAGAATGTTGACATACTTTTCCAAACCAACAAAAGCTCAAGGCCCATAAGAAATTATATCAACTGTAAATGTGTTTATGGAATCAACAGAATGGGGTACTGAGAATCTTTGGCTTCCTGTAATACCTGGGATTTGCAGTGGCTATTGGGATAGCCACTAGACAATATGGTAACTTTGAGCAAAGAAGAAAAAGCTGCTTCTCATGCCTACAGGTAAGAAGCAGCTCCACTCTGAGGAACATGGCTCTATGAGCCCAGTCTGGGCAGTTCCACGGCCCCACTTACCCCCCACGGTCAAATGTTCTCATGCAGTAAACGGCATGTGCAACTCTCTGCAGCAGCCCTGGTTGCAGCAAATAAGAATTAGAGATATCTGTATATTCGCTGACCAGGCTGTATTCCATCCCACTCCAAATCCCATCCACCCTATGGAACTTCCTCTGTGCAATTCACATCTGGATCATTCTAACACTGTCCCAATGATTTTAGGTCTCCCTTTTAGCTGTGGATGAAATGCACATGAGCTTACCCAAGATGAGGAAGGACATCTACTGGGATGATTCTGCTGCTCGGCCACCGTATACACTGGCAGCTGCCGACTACTGCATACCCTCATTTCTGGGGTCGACAGTCGAAATGGGGTAAGAGCATTCTTAAAAAAGCATCAATATTTAGAAAATAAGTAAGTCTGATCTTTTTTTACTCTGTTCTTGAAGTTACTTTCATTACAGCTTTTAATTATTAATATCTTATAAATTTCAGATATAATTAACATGCACAAGGGAGTTAGAGAGTAGAGATGTAGTTTCTGGTTTAAATATGGTGTGTGTGTGGTTGGAGGGGTGGGCGAGCTAGCGAGCATGTTTGTTTTGGGGTAATTTGCATTTTACATTGTTTTTATACCACAGCAAACTTTTCCAATATTTGTGAAACTATTCTCTTTTTTTCTTGCAATTTGAAGAGTAGTTTAATTATTTAATTATGTAGGCATTTATTATTTAATTAATACACTTAACTAAGTATATTTTTAACTTATTGATTTTAAAAAGAGAGAAATGGGGAGAGAGAGAGAGAACAAGAGAGAAACATTGATTTGTTGTTCCACTTATTTAGGCATTCATTGGTTGATTCTTGTATGTGCCCTGACTGGGGATCGAACCTGAAACCCTGGCATAGAGGGATACTGCTCTAACTATCTGAGCTACCTGGCCAGGGTTAAATGTATTTTTTAACAAGTATTTATTGAGCATGTACCATGTGCAGGCATGGTATTAGACTACTTGGAGACAAGTGAATCTTAAGGAATGAGATGAGTTTTACCAAGTTTTCCTTAAGATTATAATTCAGTCCAACTGTGTTCAGTGTACAAGTCAGTCTCTGCTCCATGGTTTTAACATAACAGTCTGTCCCTGTGCACAACAAGCTTTAAATAAATGAGCCAAGGCCTGAAGTAAATCATGCACAGTTCTTGAATAACTTTATTAAATCTGATAATGTATTTGATTTTGGAGAAATGTGTGAATATGGGGGAAGTTGAAGTATATTTGCTGAAGGCAGATGCCACAGTTTCCAAGTAACTTAAAAAGAATATGGACAAATTTAGAAAAGGAAGAAGAAACCTCCCTAAAATTACAGAAAAAGAAAAAAACTTTTGGAATTTTTCTTATCACTTTTGGGAAAACTATGGTTTGTTCCCTGAGGCAGGCTCAGAGCAGATTTGTGAAGCAATTTGTAATTCTGCGGCACTCTGAATTGCCATGTGCACCCCTTCTTCCCCGCCCCCACCCCCAGTTTTCAGCCCTCCTCTTTCCCTATTGTTTAAAAAAAATCAACTGAGTACGTTTTCAAGATCCTCTTGCCTTTACTCAGTGATTCATGAGTCAGGCAGCACCCAGTCTAGCAGATAGACAGAAGCTCTGAGGAGGAACAAGGGAGCGATGCCAGGCAAATAAGCAGGTTGGTGATTGCCAACCAGCTTCTTAGGGATGGCAGGGGCCTGTCAGGCAGATACCCAGCTGGGGCTGATCAGCTGATTGCTGATGGGCTGGCTTAAGGTTGCATTTCTGGGAGAGCAGACACTGTATTTAAGTCTCCATGTAGTGATGTGGGACCTAGCAAAGGGTCTTCATTTGAGGCTTCTTGTTTTGTTTAACACTCCTGTCAGGATATCTAGCTTCAATCCTATTTCCACAAGGCTTTACTCTTAGCCAAATGTCTCCTAATCCCCATAAATAGTGATTTGTAGCGTTCATCCTCCAAAGGAACCTCTGAGACTGACAGCCCTTCAAGACCCAAAGAAAAGGAGGGTGAACTAGCACTTCAAGAGGTGTGGTATATATTAAGACAATTAAGGAACCAGGAGATTGGCCCTGTCCTCAAGAACACCTTAGAGAAGGTCGCCTGATCCAGGCCAGACTTGCTTCCGCTTCTAGAGAGACTGCTGAGCCAGGTCCCTCCTGTCCAAGGACTTCTTCCCACCAGGGAGCTCATACCGCCCCAGCTGATGGCTCTGTCTTCATCAATAGTCATTTCCTGTTGTTTGCACCACTCAGCATTTCTGCAGTGGCAGTTTCATGGATGTCTGGCAACCTTTGCGATTTTGAAAATTAATAGATGCTTTTCTGTGAGTTTGGTTTTAGATAATTAAATATGCTTTAACCTTCCCCTCCATTCCCATCATTGATTAATGCAAAGTATTTGAAGATCTAACTTGGAACAGTAGAGAGCCCAGCCCCCATGATGGGGCCAGGGAATTAGTGTGATGACTCTATCTGGTCTCCCAGTGCTACTGTCCACTTGGTTGTTTTTGCATGCTGGTTAAACTGATTTTTTTTTGGCCTCAAGATTTTTATGTTGATCCACATATTCATCCTAATCATCATAATTTTACAATCTTATTAAGTGCTCACATTCTTTAGTGCATATTAAAATATGCACTTCTTTTATTTCTAAATATCAAAACATAGAATTAGGGCTTTACAAGACCTCAGAGAAAATACCTACCCCAAAAGATTATTGGGAAAATTAAACAGGATTATAAACATAAAAACACTCTAGATATAACTATACAGCATTATTATTATCCACTACTACAGGTCTCTTAATTGTGGATATCAAACTTAGTTACAGAAAGATTAAACAAAGCTAAGCTGTTTTTCAAATTAAATTCTAATCCTGTAAATTTGGGACAGAAAATAAATGCTTGAGAGACAATCAGGAGATGCAGTGTTGAAGAATGCAGTGAGAAGTCATCAGATGTCAGACAGGCTCTTCTAATTAAGATGGCCTGTTTACTAGCCTGACAGGGACAGGCCCCAGCAAGGCCAGAGCCTGTTAAGGGAGGTTTTCAGGAGACATTTAAATGAACTCCACTAGGACCAAGTGATCAGAGAAACCACTAGGCCAAAGCTCACTTGACCTCGACTTTCTCTGTGAACGAGGACCATGGAAGGGCAGCCTCACGGTCCAGGAAAGATCCCTCAGGAATATAGGCATTTGGAAGGCAGCGCTCCCAGGAATGCCCTCTTTGATCCATTAGTGTCTCTCAGTTTGGCTTTTCTCTTTACTGGCTCAGCTTTCAGGTAGTTGTCCCCTCTTGATGGTAAAATGACAGGATGGTGGCCAGCAGCTCCAGGAATACACCTAACTTCTCAGCAAATCCTATGGAAAGAGTGTATCTCTTCCCAACTCCTAAAACTGAAATACTAGATTTGCTGTGATTGGCTGAGCTTAACTAACATGCTCATTTCTGAACCAATCACTATGGGCAGGAAGACATAGTATTCTGATTAGCCAAGGCTGCTTGACCTGTTCATGTTTGGACCAAGGGGTGTGGTCAGCCCCAACCAACCATATGGAATGAGTGATGTCTTAAGAAAAATTAGGGTGATATTACCAGGAAAGGGGTAAATGGTTTGCGGCAGCTGGCAAAACAATAGATGGCCTCTAAAATCATTATAGATAATTCCCTGAGCATTGAATTAATTGCCCACCAACCAAATACAAGGTCAATATCAAGTGATCCATCTGACCAAGGCTTGGGTGAAAGAGAAGATAAAAATAAGGGTTATTGTAGCACAGGTGGTTCTGCTGATGATGACTGAGCCACACTGAGCTCTTCACATCAAGGTGAAGACCAGGTATCAACATCACATGGATGCACACATTTCAGAAAAGTGTTTTCTGCTTGACAAATACATACAATCCTTTCCTGAGTAAGACTTTTTTGTTTTCTTACTCTATTTAAGGTGTATGTTCCCAGCATATTTAATTCAGAAATCAAATTTCCCTTATCTTTTCATATCAACATTTTAGGTTTGTAACTACAATTCCCATGACCCAGAAATTCTAAAATCAAGCCAACACCCTTCAGTAACTGAGCAAAAGTGCCGCTCAAGGGCAACCTGAGAAATCACTCCGCTTCGTCGCAGTCAGCACACTGTCGTTCCCACATAAAAAGGGAACTCCTTGGAGGCAGTTTTTTTGTTCTCTATTCAGGAATGTGTCCAAAATATTACCCTATCTTCTACGTATGTACCAAATATGCACTACTGAAATCAGTTTATTCCTTTTGCATCCCAAGTACAGATTTAACACATCATGTTTTCCCTTTTATCTTCACATATGGAATGTGCTCACTCATTTGTCAAAGTAAAACATTTTAAGCCCTATAATATGGTAGGTTCTAGGCCAGATGCTCGAGACAGGCAAAAAATAAAACTGCCTCTTAAACTCTTAACAAGGAGACAAGTTATAATGTGGGAAATGAGAAATGCTTAGAGTCTTAGGGAGCACAATGAAGAGACATTTCACCTAGCTTCCTGAATCAGAGAGGGCTTCTTGGAATTGAGGGGGTCTAACATGCATCTGTAAGAATAATTAAGAGCTGGTTAAGGAGTGTGGGGGATTTTACCAAGGGCACATTCCAGACCAATGTGAGCCAAGACAGAAAGGAATGATAATGTTTTTAGAGTATTATTTTTTAAATTTCAACTTTATTGAAGTAGTGTTGACAAATAACCTGTAAGATATTTAAAGTATACCTGTGATGATTTAATATTCATATACATTGTGAAAGGATTCCCTCACCTAGTTAATTATCACATCTATCACCTCACATAGTTGCCTTTTTTTAGGAGAGGGTGAGAATATTTAAATTCTCTCTTAGCAAAGCTCAGTTATACAACAGTGTTATCAGTGATAGTCACCACAGTTTTCATTAGATCCTCAGGCCTTATTCATTTCCCACCTGAAAGTCTGTATCCTTGTACCAGTGTCTCCCCATCCCCTATCCCCACCCCAGTCCCTGGCAACCACTTTTCTGCTCTCTGTCTCTATTAGAGCAACAATTTGACATGCAAAGCAGAAGAGCCAAGACATGAATCCAGAGAGGGAGGTAAGGGCTGATTATAGAAGGTCTAATAGTCTGGGTAAAGAGCTTCAACCTTTCTCCAAAGCTATGAAACAACAGAGTCACATGTGTGTTTCAGATAGGTTAGCCTAGCAGCCGGCTAAAGATGGATGGCTAGAGAAAAGACTGCAGCCAGAGAGACCCATTAGCAGGCTCTGAGCATAGTTTAGACAGGAGACGAGAAGGTCCTGAACTAGGTTGGCACTAGAAGGGATGTAGACAGTGGAGAAG